ATACCTAGGTGGCTTATGGTTAAGTTGTAGCCAAGAGGCTTGTGTTTTGCTTTGTTGTTATTTATTACACCGGTGCTTTGGGTGAAGCTATTAGGGGTTGGAGGAGGCCTCATAGGGGACCCACAGCAGCATGGGGGCCCTAGTGCCAGTAAGGGCACGGTGTATGGGGTGTATAGACCCCAGCTCCAGAGAGGGGGCACTATTGAGAAGCCCCAGTGCAGGTGTGGCGAGCCCCTGAGGAATGGGGTGTGAGATAGGCGGCATTCCTGAGAAGGCCCTGCGTGGCCACAGAGAGCCCCAGAGAAGGGGGCAGCAGTGCTGAGAAGGCCCCAGAGAAGAGGGCGAGTGTATTTGACAGACCAACGTCCATTCCAACTGCGAGGCTTGGGGCATGGTATAAGGGGCGGTGGGAGCCCCGCATAGCCCATAAGGCTAGGGTGCCCCAAAGCACCCGTTTGCAGGACAAGACCCATGAGGGGTCCGGGAGTCTACAGGACCAGAAGTTACAACGGACCATGTCCAAGAGGACGTGAGGCAGCCTCCCTAATTTTATTTTATATATATAAAATAAAATTTTATCAGAGCCCTGTACAACCTGCGGTGTGGCCCTCTCCCACTCGGGGCTGGATTGACCCTTAAGTGCAGGGGTGGGCAAAATGCGGCCCATGGGCCAAGTGCAGCCTGCCAGGCCATTCTACCTGACCCACGGGGCCCCTAATTTTTTTTATCAGCCCCGGCTACCTCTCATGCGCCCCTCGATGGCTTGCCAAAACTTGGTAAGCAGCCCTCCACCCAAAATAATTGCCCGCCCCTGCTTTAGTGGGTCCTCGGCAAACAACTTGTGGGCCCTGGGCTGGTCAAGACCCCCTCCCCAAAGTGGTGCTGCCACCTATAGGGCGCGGGACTTGGAGCTGATGCTAGGAAGCAGCTGGCAGAGGGGAAGGGAAGGGAAAGGAAAGGAAAGGAGGTGGACAGAGCCGTTTGCGACAGAGCCCATACAGAAGGAAGGACCAGACCCCCAGGAGCTCAGGGCCCTAGGTTGTCTGTGTGTTGTTTGGGCCCTGCCTCCACCTGGTGGACGGACATGGTATTGCTATTATAACTGAAGCCTGATTTCCCAAGGGCCAGGACTCCTGCACATTAAGCATGTGTTAAACACCTTTAGAGTGTAAACATCCAGTTTTGTCCTAGAGTGAGACACTGAATGTGGCTGAATCGCCATATTCTGGGCAAGAGACTTTGGAATAGGAGGAGAAAACATTGGAAAAATCAAATGTGCGGGAGTGTACCGAGAGACAACACACATTGCAGCTAGAGGAGGCAGAGAAAAGAAAACCTCTATTAAGGAAGACACTTAGGGCTTTTTACAGGTGAAAGCGCTGCAGTGCCAAGCACTTTGAAAAGCGCTCAGCGCTGCGAGGCATGCAGTTGTATAAGTAGAGAATTGCA